TGGAAAAAAACACAAAACACATTGGTTTGTTTTCTGTACAATTTTTTTAAATTTTTATTTATAACAATATCTGTTATTTAGTTTGTAAAGTAATCCAGCAAAAATTAAACATTATTCTCTTTCCAGAAGAAAGTCTGAGCCTCCATGCATCGTGTACTATAAAAGCTATGTGTCATTCTTCATTAGAAAAAAAACAAGGACTAATCAAAAACAATTCTGAAAATGCATGTATGATTTTGCAAAAATGTCCTTTAGGTAAAATGATTGTACTTCTCTCTCAATTAAAGTCAAAACATATACAACAGCGTAAAATATCACTTGCTGACAGGTAAGCAAAATAAAAACTTGTTATTGTAGTTACATTAAAGATTGGTGTTACTTTTCACATGCATTAACATATGGCTGACACATTTCTGACAGAAAGCAGCATTTTGAGACAGAGGCTGAGCGTAAAGGACGCATCAGAGCGACCAGAATGGTAGCATTAGCAGCAGCAGGGCACAGAGGATAGTGAGAGATTAGAAAGAGCGAAAGACCAAATGAACATAATTCACTTAAGACTGAGTGATTATAAAACTGTGAACGTACAGACTTTGACCTCTAAAGGTAGAAAGATGAATCTACACACAAAGCCAGGCGGATGATATCTGGTCTTTACAAAAAAAATGGACTAAAGAAATAAAAGACAAAGAAAAGACCCATCTTTTCTTTCAATTTGACCATAATTGCAGCCTCCCTTTCCTTGTGAAGGACGACTCTTTTAAACAGAGAACTACCATCTCCTTACATCTGTAATCTCCACCCACCACTCTGGCTGGAATGTTTAACCCATGACCGACTTCCTCTCTCTCCGACTCCATAATCGCACACCAAAAACACCTCTCACCCTCTCACTTCAGCAACACATGAGCTCCAACTGTCATACAATGTGATAAAAACAAACATACCTGTTTTACATCTTACGGTATAAAGCCTACAGTATACACTATGCCGTAAAATATGAATTCTGTGCAAGGAAGACAACACAATCATTTCATGAACATTGTTCTCTGAGAAGAAATGATGTGGAAATACTGTAGTTGCCATCTGGTATTGACATTTTCCATGTGCTATACACAAACGGTGCTATCACAAATCTGTCTCACACAATCTTGCTAAGACACTCCAGCAAGACAACATATGTACCGATTTAGAAAACTTTGAGTTTTGCCTTTCCCGCTCAAAGTCGACACAAACAACAAACAGTTGGCACTGGTGAAATGGAACAATGTTTTTTTCTTTTCTATACAATTCATACAAAAATAAAAAATTAAAATTGCTCCAATGATAGCATCTTTTTTCAGATTTTCTTGTTTCCATTTCATTTTGCACAGAGGTAGTGGCTATTTAGGTAAAGGGTAAGGGACAAGGTGTAAATTAAAAATCTCACATAGAAAATGTTATTCATTTTTGACCAGAGGAATCTCAAAAGAACAAAATATAATACTGCAATCACATACAAAAGTAGTCCTTCATTTTTGTACATTTTATACAGTGTTCACACTTTTTTTTAATCAATTTTTTCTCACACTTTTTATTGATTTTTTTAAAATTTGTTTTTCTTTAAAAGGCAAGAAGAGGGGTGTGTTTGGGATATTGTGATCCAGGTCAATAGACAGTCTATGTCAGGGGGTCCACAAGGGGCTCCTCATCTCCACGTGATAGCAACTCCTTCTTCTCATCTGTGCTGGCCAAAGAGTTGCGGCTGTTGTGTGCTCCCATGTACAGAGTGGCATATACTGGGTTTGTGAAGTTGGTGGGCTGAAAAGGGTCATCCATTAGTTATCATACATACAGTATGAGCAGAGGCTACAGCATTTGTGTATATGTATGCATGCCTGGTATTTCTTTCTACCTTGTCTGGGTCCAGCGTGAAGTCTGCGTCTAGCAGCTCCCCGGCATCGTCATCCGGCTCGCCCTCGTAGATCTTGTAGGCAGGGTTTCCTATCTCAACATTCATGGCCCCGTTGGTCATCCTTTGGTGCTGGAAGCCCTTGGCCCTACACAACATATTACGAGCACAGTCAAACCTTTGTGTCTCATTTAAGGTTATAAGAGCCTAAACAGTGCAAGCAGGGAGACAGCCACATTATGAAGGGAGGGAAGAGGCATCGCATGGCTCTCACCACCATCCAGGCTGAGGGAACTAAGCCACAGCACCAACACAAACCCAGCATTCATGTAGCCCATGACAAGACCCAGACACAGAGGACCTGGATACAGGACTGCTAATGTACAGACTATCTTTTAAAGCCACATTAAATCCTCCTAAATATGCTATGAATGTCTGCATTGTCTATGGTATCTACCTCTAAGTAAATGCTGGATTTTCCACACTGCATTTTCCAATCTTGAGTTTGAAAGAATGCTGTCACACTGTCCATCTCTCACTATGAGAGACACTACCACAATACAAACCACAGCACAGCACAGTAAGTACAATATGGCACAATATGATGGACAACAGCATGACGGATCTACAGCACTGGCTAGTGCATAGACAGATCTATTCAATGCATCTTTTCAATAGATCTGCCCTTGAGCCGCTCTGAAGAGGGCAATTATACAGGAGAGATACTGTAGGAGCGGGATGAGCTATAGCTCCCACGAACATCTGAGAGAATGGCGCGACATTCAACACAGGACCAAACACTGCACAGCAACCAAGACTTATGGGTAAGGGAGAGACGGAGAAAGAGAAAGCATCAGGATGCAGAACTGAATGAAGCTATGAAAGGAATGTGTAACGCTGGCAACTGTTACCGCAAGCGCCTGGAGCCGGTTTTGTTGGGCCGGCTAGACCTGAGGAGCAGAAGAGATGCCATTACAGAGAGGAGAGGACAAGTGTAGACGGAAGAAGGGAAAGAAGGGAAGAGGAAGAAAGAGGGAGGGATAGAGGGAACACAAAGTCGAAAAGGTCTCAACTGTCTCTTGTTTTAAAATGAGAGTGTTACTCACCCTCTCATCCTTCTTCTATACCAGAACAACGCTCCTGCAGCCAGCAGAACCAGCAGCAACAGCAGCAGCACAGGGATCACTATGGAGGCTGTTCCTACGTGCACACACACACACACACACACACACACACACACAAACATAAGAATAGTGCATGGAGAATTGTATCACATTCAATGAACTTCTATTATTGATGTCATGGGAGAAGTGTCGACTTACGTCCACCTGAACCTGAGGCACTGTCACTGGTGGCTACGGACTCACAGCGATGCCCTGCCCAGCCAGGTGAACATCTAAACACACAAGAAGAGAGGAAATAGACATATGCACTCTCTGCTTGTATGCAATAGTGCACCTGAGCTATTCAGACTCTGCTCCTTACCTGCACTCTGGAAGGCGGGTGCTGGAGTTAATAGAGCACTGGCCATTTGCACAGTACTCATTCGTGTCACATGTGTAACAGCTGGGCTGGACTCTTCCATTTGCGCAGCTGTAGAAGACAGAACAAATTGTGAGTAGCAAAGACAAAGACATCTTTGCATGTGCACGTCTGTTTGTGTTGAGCAAATGATATGTCTTACCGGCAGGTGAAGTCCCCTGTAGATGTGAAACCATTGCTGGGGATACACTCGCCGTCACGACAATAGTGACACTTGTCAATCTCACATGTGCTGCCACTGTACTGAGGCAGACAGCGGCACATTTTGGAGCCATTTTCACTCTGTAGACATGTACCTTTGTTCAAGCAGTGGCCTTCACAGCTTCCTGCTCACACACACATAAACATGTTAGTGCACTGCTCACCAACCACATCATAATCTATCAGAGGTATTGCGAATGCAAAAAAAGTATTTGAACATTTGTAAACTTGCATGTGGGCTAGATAGTAGGAACACTCACTGTACTGGCACTGGTTGCCCAGGAAGGAAAGGGGGCAGCGGCAGGTTGGCTGGTTTCCGGCGCTGACTGTACAATTGCCTCCATTTTTGCAGTAATCCTTACAGGTATGCAGGTTACAGTTTGGCCCTGTGAAGCCTTTCGGGCATCGACAGGTAGGAGAACCTGTGGAAGGAAAGACATATGAAGGGATAAATAAATGGAAGGCTAAACAAGAATGTGTCATATTACAGAACCAACGGAAACATGAATGTGGCCTGTAAAGCCATACTTTAGCCTATAAAGCGGCATTTCAACTTTAAATGTAACTATTATTTATCTTATACTTCACAAGTCAAAGAAAGTTAACACAAAATGCCAAAACCAGCTTGAAATGAAGTCCATATCTTACCTGTAGGGGAAGGTGTGCATGTGCCTCCATTCCTGCAGTAGTCCCTGCACAGGTCAATGTCACACCGATCTCCTCCATAATTCGGCTGGCAACGACACTTGGGCTGCTTGTGGGCATTCAGGAAACAGCTGCCGCCGTTCATACACTGGACCGAGCAGGGACCACTGGGAGGAGCTGCAGACAATGAAGTTTTTTAGTCATACAGAATGAGTTCAGCTGCCAGTGTGTGTGTTCTCTATGTGGGAGTGTGTGTTTACTCACAGATAGGAGACAGAGTGGGAGTGGGCAGCTCCACACATGTGCCGTTGTCCAGTGTGCGTCCATTGGGACAGATGCAAACTGGTCCACTGGGGCTCAGCAGACACAGCCATTCACATTTCTTCCTGTCGCAGGGATTGGTCACTGACAAAGACAGGAAGAGAACCAGTATTAAAAAATAGGAAAAAAATAACTGCCTGCCTTCGTCATCTCTTCTTCACCGTCTTAGATTCAGTGAGCATTGCTGCTGTTGGCAGATGTGTCTGATTTCTACTCACTCTCAGGTTGCTTGTAGCGGTGGTACAAAGCTATATCTGTGGCGTGGTTCATTCCAGTTGTCAGGTTCTCAATGGGGCCTTTGCCAAACTTATTCACTCGGAAGACGTAGTTGTTAATGTAGGTGACGCCGTAAATGTAGTCCTCAAAGACATCGATGCCGAAGGGATGGTGGAGCTCTGTGTGGAAACAGAGGAGACATGTTAAATGCAAAAATACACATTCTTACGTTGTGCTCCCACTCCTGACTAATAAAGACTGATCACTGGTGTGGATTGCAACTTGTATAGATTACAGAATGTGCCACTCAACTGTTCTTAACGCTGTTTACAGCCACAACCACATCGCTGCCATTCAGCCTCACACTGCAGATCAAGGAGAGTTTAGCATCGGCCCAGAATAGACGCTCGTTGAAGTAGTCCACCGCTAGACCTATACGGAGAGTGGGGAAGAGCAGTATTAGACAAGCTTTATGTATTTAAATGATTTGCATATAAGTTACTGTATATATTGTTTTATATTATCTATTCTTATTGTATTTTAAATATTTGTATATATGTTCTATTTGTGTGTAGCATGAATGGACTACAACTTACATTTCATGGTGCAACCCTGTGTTGTGACCAATAAATTAACCTTGTAAGGAGAAGTACCTATGTATGTGTGTGTGTGTATGTTTTACCAGTTGGCCACTGAATGTTTTCCTCCACCAGCGTCTCTCTCATGGTACCGTCCATAGCAGCTGTTTCAATCTTGGGGTGGTTCCCCCAGTCTGCCCAGTACATTTTTCTAATGAAGAACATGTAAAAGCTGCATTTATCTATATCACAATTAAATCTTCATTTGCATTCTCGTGATTTTCTACAAGTAGCTATAACTTCACTGCCATGTGACCAAAGACCCACTCACCCTCTCGGTGGGTCTACGACAATGGCATAAGGCTCATCGATCATGCCAGAGATGAGTGTTTTGTGGTGGCGTCCTCCACTTAACTGGGCCACCTCGATGACGTCTCTACCAGAGTCGGTCCAGTACAAGTTCCCTGCCACCCAGTCCACAGCAATACCACGGGGCATCTTCAGATCAGGGATCT